CTTTATTTGAGCAGCTTGTGTATCCCCAACAATATGCTCATCAACAACAAATGGCATCTCTTTTGAGAAGTTTGCTCATCGACAACAAATGACATCTCTCCAAAAATTCCATAAGTCAGAGAAGTTTGTGTATTACCCTTTCTTAGTGATATCTTGGATAAAGATGAAACTATTCTCCATTCTAGGTGAAATCAAGAATTCAGAGAAGTTTATTATACTTTCCGAGTGAAATCTTGATCAAAGAAGAAGTTGAGACCCATTCTAGGTGGAATTCCAGAATTTTGGGAAACTTATTATTGTTCTATGAGTTGGTAGTTCACTCATTTGTTAGTCAGTATCTTCTTCTTTCTCCTCATTTGACTCTGCCCTAATAGAGTTGAGCTTTCTCCAGTATCAGTATTGATGTCAATCATTTTTACCCCAATCTCAGTACTGATGTCAAATCGTTTCACCATTGAATCTAAAAAAGTTAGTGCATTCTCTTATTTCTCTACCTTCAGTAAAATTCGGTAGTTCACCTTCAGTAGACGTCAGTGTATCTTGTTTTTCTGCCTTTAGCCTTGAGTGGAAATCTTACCATCGTTATACCCCAATAAGAGTTTTCCCATATGAAGTTTGTTGCTCTATTCCTCCAATGGAGTTATAATCTCTTCCCCTATGGGATTATTTTATCATGTGCTTGTTTTCTACAGCAGTAGTCTGTCTCATGCGGCATCATTCCCCATAAAATTCAAATACTACATTCATATCATATCATAAACACAATTGCGGTATCTTAAAGCCAAAAATTGTGTATTCTATATTTAAGTCCCTTCTATTTCGTTGAGACAAAGATTTCAGTCTTCATATCTCTGAATAGAAGAGACTTAAATAAGGGAAGCTTTCATACCCCAATTTTTTACCTAATATCCCATCTTCATTTGCATTTTCATAAAGCCTCAAGGTTACAACATGTTCGGTTTTAACCCTCTCGCCTTCGAGTAACGCTCATGTAGAGATTATCAAGTGTTGCGAACATCTTATCTTATGTGTCACTAACTTCTAATCAAATACAAAGGTGTATATTTTTGTTTCTTTGGTGTCATGTGCAGAGATAGGTCTGAATCAAGGGCATCAGGCGTTGTGCCTCAATTATGGTTTTGAGTCCCTCGAGTCAGAAGTACAATTAATTATTGATTCTCGAAGATTGGTTCATCAAGGCACAACCTCTAATCTCAGAGCATAGAGTCTCAAGCATCGTTCAATCTCATTTTGATCAAATATGTCTTATGGAACTTCATAGGATCATGTGTTTATTTACACGCCTTGTTCGACAAGTGGTATCAAGCTTCTCCAAAACTTCCTCAAAGCACAGTCAAAATTTCATCATCATTGGTTCGTATATCCACCAATGTGCCTGGGAATGTGAGGGAGGATCAAGTTCGTAGGTTGATTCAAAGCACATTAACCAAAAGGTCAATGTTTATAAGTACAAATTCAGGAAGTCAAGAGAAAATTTGTGTTTAGAATGATATGGAATTTATCAAAACTTTATAGGACATTTTATGGATTAGAAGTTTCTTGACCACTTTGAATTACGATTAATGACGCTATCATTTCTTCAAATGTTATCCTTGTAATTATTCAAGTCAGGAACCGTGGTTATTTTTCAAGATATCATGTCAAATCCATGGATTCAAGTTCATTCATAATTCAAAATATGGAAGGAAATTATTGCTTTTATGAGTTTGGACATTTCAAGTCAATGTTCAAATTAAAACATCAAGCACATCAATTATTCATGCTTCTTGGAAATTAATATGTTCATCAATTTTTCAAGTCTTTATCCAAAGATCACTCTCAAGATTCAAAATCAAGAGTTCATGTTCATAATATTCAAAATGAAATCAAATTCTATAATCCACTTCATGGTTCAAAGTTCAAAACTCTAAATTCAAGTCTATTGATTTCAAATTGACAAAAGTTCAACATCATTCAAAGGTTCTCATTCAATTTGCAAGACACATCAAAAAATACAATTCCAAAGTACCAAGTAACCATTGTTCATTCATTTGCAAATTATACAAGTTAATGCCCAAGTTATATTCAATAAAGTTTCAAGTTACAATCACAAAAGAAATTCTTCAAGTTTCTATGCCTAAAGGCTTCATCTTCAAGGTATCTTAAATTCTCCCTGCTTTCATTATCAAAGCTCCATCTTCCAATCTTCATACTTTCTTCATCAACTAGTGGAAAAGAAAACAAGTGTGTGATTAAGAAATTTTTCAGCAATGCAAAAGAGTTTAAAGGCCCATAAAAACATGTTAAGAGCCCATAAAAATATGCCCAATTTCCAGCCATGCTACAACACACAAATTTGTCCAAAATGTTTTTCTCCATTCTACATATCAGCCCTGGAAAAGACAGATCGGAATCAGCTAAAAACCAGTCTGCAAACAGCCTTGTTACTATCCCTGTTGTCCAAAACTTGCCCAAAATGAAACCACAAATCCATGCATCAAGAAAGCATAAGGCAGTTGACATAAACTAGAATTCAACTGATATTTAGCTCCAATTTTCCCTCCAATTCTATCATACATTCACTATAAAAACAGAAGCAAGAGGAACAATAAATAAGGACATTATCAATAATAACCTCCAAGCTTCCTGCAACAGAATACCAACAACACAAATATCTCTCACAAACACCTAGAAAGAACTTCATAAATTTCAGCCTCACTCTACTCACAACCGGACCCTGTATCTCAAACCTCTTCATACTTTAAAAAACTCCCTCGGTCTGTGAGGGACGGGGTGATATTCCCCCAACTTGACAACTCCTTGAAACAACCTCTCATATCCAGAAAAACATTCAAATCTCTGCATAACAGAACCCTAATACTTCAAAAAAAAACTTCCTTTCATTCCTCCATGCATAAACAGAAGCACATAAGCGGAGGAGAATTTCAGAATCGCAAACAAAACAAAGAAGAATTTGAAAAACATACTGACTTGAAGGAATCTGGTTTTCTATTCGCCTCTGTTGAAGAAGCACCAGACACTTCTTCTGGTTGAAAAAGACAACTCTTCTCTTTCCGCTACCAGGCTGCTATGGTGACACTCTTGTGCACTTTGTTGGTCTTCTCGAACTGTCCTGACTCTCCTTCCAGGTAGCAGGTATTTTAGGACCAGATACCAGTTGAAAATAACTGCCCCTAATGCATTGATAACAGGTCGGCCCCATATGATGTTATAGGGAGACAAGGCATCTAATATGAGGTAGGTGACTGCAATCGCCTTGGAGTCTGCTCCTATGCCACATGTTGTCTCTAGTATTACGTGGCCCTCATTTGCATCTGCTCACTTGGAAATCATATTAACGAACCCCAAAATGCTTTAATGTCATTAAGATCGAGTTGAAGTTTTTGAAAAGCGTCGTAGAATAGGATGTTAGTAGAACTCCCGAGATCAAATATGACTCGCTTGATATTTCAGTTGCCATGTTGCATAGTGATGACCATGGGGTTAGTATTTGTGAGGAGGATTTCGATGAAATCACTGCTAGAAAAGGTGATGTCGATTCTTGATTCTCCTTGTTCCCATTTGGAGAACCCAATGGATGTTACGTTTTCTGTCAACACTTGTCTGGCATATTTTCTTCGGGAGGAGTTACAACTTTCTCTTCTAGCGAAACCACCAGCTATGGTGTTCACCCTAGAGTGTAGTGTTTTGTTAGCCATCTTTGGAGGATGACGAAGATGATGATAATGAATGAGGTGTGTATCATGTTAGTTTTATTGGGACCCCATAGTGGACACTATTGTACTTGTTAAAAAGTATATGAGTGTGTGGTATCCCTACGCGGGTAGAGGATACTCAAAGGTCTTTGTAGTTAAGAGTGATTATGGCTTACTCACGATGGTGAGAGACTCTGTTTTCTGGGGACTGATATATACATTAGGCCTAGAATTTTCCAGGGACTGGTAATCTTCCACCCAAACAATTGTTGACTATTGAATACCCATTTTATAGGAAAGTATGGATCAGTATGTTGACCCTGGCTCTCCTCTAACTGAAAAGCCTCTTTTCCCACCTTTCTCACGACTCTACGAATAGGGATGCATTTAGAACGAGACGATTTCTAATGGTGGAGAGCGTATAGGTGTCGACCCTCTTAAGGGTTACCACTATCCCACCCTTGTTAGCTATTTTACAAATATATAACGACACTATTAATTAAAATTCTTTTGAATGATAATAAATATATTAAAATGTTAAATATTATTTTTCTAATTTTTTAACTTTTAATCATCTTAAAAATGAACTTAAATAACATAAAAAAAAAAGATAATTTATTCTATTTAATTTTTGCTTTTATAGAAAAAACAGTATCTTTATTTATTTTTCATTTTCAAAATTCAATGTATGACTAATTATTGTTATATCAATATTTTTAGTTATGTATTGAATATAGACAAATATATGAAATAAAATATTCAATTATTAAGGCTATTACAAGAAAAAGATAAATAATTGTATCACCAATAAAAATTATCCTAAGTTACCTTAGTTTGTATGAAAAGTATAAAATAAAATAAAAAAGAATAGATGGAAATTAAAAAATATTTTTATATTAATTTATATTTATCGATTTGTTCAACCAATTATTTTATCAGATATTTTAACTTTAATATGGTAGTGACAGCTATTAGCCATTTTATATAATAAATCTTATATTTTCAATTAATTAGTTAATTTCCTTCAACGATAAACATTATATTATATTATATTATATTATATTATATTATATTATATTATATTATATTATATTATATTATATTATATTATATTATATTATATTATATTATATTAAAATTATAAAGATGTACACCACAAATAAAAAAATGTCTAAAATCTTTTGCAAAGGTTTAATGACATAATTGACTGATTGAGTGGCTTTATTTTATTTTCCATCTCTTCACTCCATTCATGTACATGACTCTTCATCTTTCTCAACCATCATGAATCAAGGAACCGAGTGGTATCGTCACATGGGAGACGAAAAATCAAGAATGGGAAACAATCACAAAAAGAAAAAGGAAAACATCACAAGCCGTAACGGCCGTGGCGGCGGCAATGGCGGTGGTGGTGGGAATGATATTGCCGGACTTGTAGTAGCGGCTGTTGGTTTTATAGCTGTCGTCACTTTTTCAATCATCAAACACAGAACAAAACCGAAACCCAAACCTCAAAATTCATTGGACCAAAAATGTGATACAAGCATAGAAGATCACGAAATTGAAACCAATCAAGGTCTTCATGCACTTCTTCAACCTTCAACAAACACAACCAAAGACCTAGATGTTGCACCGTGGTAACGTTAACATAACTGTTTGTTTTTCATATACTGCGATTTCGTTGTTTGAACAATTTCATAGAGAGTTGTTATTGTTAATATTAATATAAAATATTTTCTATTTTACCTAGATTTGAACGATGTTTCTTTAACTCGTTTTAACATTTGTATTTTCCACAGTCAAGCGATGATAACCGATGAGAAAAGTATTAACCACATTTTTATTGAGGTAATTTTTTTAGTTATTATTCCTATTAATTTGGTTATGTTGAAGTTAAAAACAAGTTGAATAAATTACTTTGATTTGTTTTGTTTTTTTAGGAGGAGAAAATTGAAAGTGTTTCTGAAATTAAAATCATCAATGAAGTGGTGGCATCTGAAACCTCCTTTCATCATGATGAAATTGTGTTATCTGATTATTTCAACTCGGAAAGTGCCGTGTCAGAAGCGGAAAAGATAGAGGATGATGATGATGATGAAGCTGTTTCAGAGATTGTTGAAGAAAAAGATTGTTCATTGAATGAGGGAGGGAAAATTGATTTGCAAAATGAAGAAGAACATGTAGCTGAAAAAACAGACACTGAAGTTGTTGATGATGATGTGCAAAATGAAGAACATGTAGCAGAAGAAACAGACACTGAAGTTGTTGATGATGATCATGTGAATGTTGAACCTGAAATCACTTCTGAAGAAGAAGGGAATTTATCTATGGAAGTGACTTATCAAGATTATCAATCAATATTGGTATCAAACTCAAATCAATTTTCAACTTTGCTTATGCTGTTGCCAGGGTTGCTCTTGCTTCTAGTTCTACTTTTGCTTATGCATTTTACTAAAACTATATTTTCTGCAATAGGGCCATAATGCTGATATATGAATTTCAAACAAACTTGTCAACAATTTTCTTTTGCTTCTTAAGGCACCATTTGACTTGAAACATTCTGATGAATTCAAGAAATAATAACACTTCAATTACATAAATTCTACATAAACAGATATATTTTGATGTTTTAGCTTCTATTGTTTGACTTCCACTTTAATTTCAAGGCATTCAAGGTATAACAGATCACCTTCTCTGTCATTCATAGAATCATTTGCTGAAGAATAGATTCCCCACTTTCAAATCTTGAGCACAATTATTTTAAAGATTAAATGTAGGATTCCCTCTTATAATATAGGCGAGTCTCTTTTATCCCCTTTATTTTTATTTTTTTGAAATATTCTTGTAATATATATTTTTTTGAATTACCTTTTAAATATACAATTTTAACATTGAATTTGGGATAAATAAATAAAAATATTTTATATGAGATAATTTTTGTACTGATAGAAGACTTAATGTTTTAAAATTTCAGAGAGAGATATTTCAAAAAAATAATTAAAAGAGGATAAAACTAAACTCACTAACCCTTATTTTAATTCTTATTTACACCTTTTAGCTTTTGATTCTTTTTAAAGTAAATTATTAACAACAATGATATGATATTGTATCTATTTGTTCTTCTTATTATTGAGGCCTAAAGAATTTCATGAATTGGTATTAGACCACATGATATAGAACAACCATAATATGTATTTATCCTTATCCCTTTATAAGAGTTTTAGCAAGTGTTGTTAGATTTAATTTATATTTTAGAAATATCTTTTGGATATTAATCTATATTTTAGGAATATCTTTTTAGAAGATATTATTATATTTTTTTATATATTTGTTAGAGGATATTTAGGTTTTTATTTTGTGTATAAATAGTCTAGTGAGGTAGCTCAATGTAATTCATTGTAAATCATTATTCCTTATTTTGTAGTCGTCATTTAATATATTCTTTTCTGCCTTTCATCTCTTCTTTGTGCACCAACAATTGGTATTTAAAGCTCCGGTTCGAAATCCACGGGAAAACAGGAAACACGAGAGAACGGTGAGGTATTGTGTGATAATCGTTGTTTCTGATTCTGGGGATTTAGGAAACACTGCTTAAGTTTCTACGTAAATTGCACAAGATAGAAGATGAACGGGAACGACAACGATGTCCATTCCAAGCTTCCAGTATTTGATGGCAAAAACTGAAATCGTTAGAAGATCCAGATGCGCGTGTTATTTGGTTCTCAAGATGTGTTAGATCTTGTCACTGATAGCTATGATCTGTTAGAAGCAGACGCAACAGAGGCACAAAAGACAACACATAGGGCGCTAAGGAAGAAAGATCAGAAGTCGTTGTTCTACATCCATCAATGTGTGGATGCAAATGTGTTTGATAAGATTGCTGATTCTGAAACAACAAAGGCTGCGTGGGACACACTGGTCAAATGTTGCGGTGGTGACGCATCAGTGAAGAAGGTGAAGCTTCAGTCTCTCAGAAAGAAATATGAAAATCTCAACATGAAGGACAACGAGAAGGTTTCTGAGTACATCTCTAGAGTGATTCTGATCACTAATGAGATGAAAGCTTGTGGAGAAACTCTTTCTGAACAAGTAATTATTGAAAAGATCTTGAGATCTTTAACTTCTCAGTTTGATTACATTGTGGTAGCAGTTGAACATTCCAAAGATCTGAGCACCATGAGAGTTGAAGAGCTACAAAGTAGTCTAGAGGCGCATGAGTTACGTATGAATGCGAGAACTTCTGAGAGGGAAGTAGAGCAGCAGGCTCTGAAAGTAACTTCTGGTAAGAAGTATCAGAAGCAGACTTGGTCAGAAGCCAGGAAGAAAATTAAGGGTGGTCAAAGGTCAGAAGCTTCAAACTCTGATAGGCAGAAGAATATCCAGAAGGGAAAGGAGAAGTATGACAAGAAGAATGTTCATTGTTACTGTTGCAAGAACTTTGGTCACTATGCCAAAGATTGTCAGTCAAACAAAGAAAGGAAGTCAGAAGAAGCAAATATAGTCAGAGGAGAGTCAAATGATGAACCTGTGCTATTGTTGGATTCTAAACCTGATGATCTGAATTCATCAGAATGGTGGTATATGGACACAGGGTGTTCAAACCATCTTACTGGAAACAAGAAATGGTTAGTCGATTTTGACTCTGGGAAAAGTACAAAGATCAAATGTGTTGATGATAAATACCTCAATGCAGAAGGTATGGGAAATATCAGAATCATTCTAAACAATGGGAAAGCAGCAGTGATCCAGAATGTATGGTATGTATCTGGCATGAAAAGCAATCTGATGAGTGTGGGACAACTGATTGAGAAAGGTTTTTCAATTACCATGAAGGACAATCTTCTGAAGCTGTATGATTGTATGTCGTACCCCAAATTTGTCCCACCTCGATAATTTTATTTTTTCAAGATTAAAAATAGAAGAAGATATTTTAATTAAAGATGGTACAACAGTATCTGATGGCCTATCTTTATCCAAGACTATAGGTGTATTTTAATTCAGGAAAGCGGGACTTTCTAAATCAGAAAGACTCATATATCCGTAGGCACATTTACGAAACATGTTGGCCTATGGCCCATGCGATTCAAAAATGGAAAATTACTCAAATAATAATTAAGTTTTTAATTAATAAAATCTACTTTTAGTGTTAATGTTATTAGTAAAAAGGGGAGGTTGAAATTGCAATTGACAAGACCGTTAGAATTGGGTCCATTAATATTTTGGTTGTTGTTAGGAAAAGAGGGTGTGGTTAAGGCCTATTAAGATGACCCATTTGATGTTTAGAATAAGAAGAGATATTATTATTATTATTGTTGTTTTTTGTTTTAATGGAAAAAGGATATATAAAAGAAATATTAATATAAAAAAACTATTTATTATTATTACTATTAATAAATAAATAGTATATGTCTTTAAGGAAAACTAAACAATGGGTCTAAGTTTTGTTTTCAAATGTTATTGTTTACTGTTGTTTTGGAAAAAATTGTGGTGGGCTGGTTAAGTAAAACCCTTTTTAATAAAAAATGATGTTGGACTGATGATAATACAAATGTAGGCTCAATTTATATTATAAAAAAAAAGCATTCTCGGTTGTAAGAAAAAATGATGTTGGGCTAAGTGATGTAACAATCAGCGCTGGCCCAAGTTTAATAAACAACAACTGTAGCAATCTAACCAAAAAGCACGCCATGAACACATATTGTTCAGATTTCCTTTTACATTACAAAACTATTGCGTAACTCAATCAAATCCAGAAAGCTGAATCCAATATATTACAATACATTATCAAACTAAATCAAAATTATAATCAAATCTCTTATTACTAAAATCAAATCAAACATTACAAGTCACAAATCAATTATATAGAAATCCAATCCCTAATTTTCCTCTAATTCTCTAATCTGAGCTAAAATTCTAACTGAAAGTTCAAAACCCTAATAACAAAAAAACTATATATATTAAAGACGAATACAGAAGAAAAGGGATAGAGATACAGGCGGGGTTTTTTTATAGAAGTAAAAAAGAAACAAAAGAAGATCAAGAACAGGAACGGAGATACGTTTACAGAGAGAAGCAGAATTTAGCGCCGATTGGGGTTTCAATTTCCGAAACCCTAATCGGTCTCCCTTGACTAACCGCGAGCCGCTACAACCACCATCGTCGTCACCTTCTAAGACCACCATTACCTGCGAAATTCAGAGAAAAGGGGTCAATTTTACATCACCGATTATTCACAATCAGAAACCCAAAAGGGGTAAAGATAAACTTAGCTTTTGTTTTCTCTAATTGTTGATTTGGGGTTTTTGTTGGTTAAGTTTTGATTAAGGGTTACCGGATTGTGAAGCGCCGCCGTGGGGGAAGGTGGTAGGGTTAAGAAAGTGAAGAGAAGGGTTGGTAAGAGAGAAGACGAAGAGATACTGTAAACGTAAATAAAAGTGAACTGGTAAAATGAAATTAAAACAACTTTGATTCGTATCGATCACGTGCGACGCGCTCATCTGGTCTATTGTACTCCCTTGTTTTACATCCCTTAGATCATAATCAAACGGCCACTAGGCCAAGTCTGTGTTAGTTAGCGTACACCCTCGCCACACCAGAACACGCGGATACTCCCTTCAAACTGTAATGGGCCAAGCCCATTAAGGTTAGCACCCCCTTTCAATCGTTTTACTCAAACACCAAATACTTCACACCCCCTTGTCTAGCAATCATAATGGGCCTAATCCAACTGTTTTCGACACCCCCTATTTTTACTTAAAAACTAGGATTGCACCCCCTTGCCTAATTAATCATTTTTTACATTTTCTATACAATTATTATTTTCTTCTTCTTCTTATTATTATTATATTATATTATATTATCATCTTTCTTTATTATTATTTTTATTATTATTAGTTATAATTATTATTATCATTAATAGTAATTTTTATTTATAGTATTACTATTTATTATATGTAGATATTACTATATTATCAAATAAATTTATTTTTATATTAAAATTGCATATATTACTTTATATATCATTTGCATTAAATTATTTTTTAAACATGCATTAATCAAGATCTTTGCAAATAATATGACTAAAAAACATAAACAAATCATTAAATTATTTTTCGCAATAAACTAAACTAATCAACTGTTTTTTGCAAAAGGGTTTCAAACTAGTTTTGACTTACTGCGCATTCAGTCAAAATCTCCGCAATCACCACTCTCGACCGAGTGCGAGGTGATTCAAAATATGTTTCCAAACCCCTAAAAAACACCAACCCATACGAACTACGAATTTGGACTCTGATTCCTCATAAGAGAATACGTAGGCATACGATCAAAAATCGTGGCGAGTCTTTCTAATTAAAACTTAAAATCCTGTTTACCCTAAAACTAAACGTAGAATCTAATATCCTTGCGAACAAGATAGATGAAAGGTTCCCAACACCTTCCTTTCGTCTAATTAAGTCCAAAACCTAGAATCTCTGTCTGCGAA